CGTCTGTATATGACACACAGGAGACATGGCATTAACAGCAGTAGTTATTTCAACTACTTTATTCATTCTTTGGCTTTAGCTGGTCCTTTAATTCCACGACTGACGCTGCTAAAAAGGACAGATTTTCTTTTCTCGATCTCTGAGAGCAGGACTTTATCTCCGAACTCGTAAAGTTCTTCTATTTACTTTTCGCTGTCGTTTTCAAAAAAATGGGGCAGGAAACATAGCCTTATATGGTGTTTTTAGGGCGGTAATTATGCTAAACTCCTTTCCTCGTGCACGAGCAGCTGGATACGAACAGGTGGAAATCATCATGTTTACGCAGCTCATTTACACACTTTTCCTGAAGATGAAGAGTTTGTTGAATCTGACGTGGCATGTTCGCACAAACAAAAGTAAGAGAAATGTAGGATAAGAATACAAACATGTTCTTGCATGAGGCCCAAAGTTTTTTGTGTACAGCRCCCTGAGACGACATTTGTTGTGACTTGGCCTGATATAAATGAATAGAACTGAATTTAACGGAAACAACGGGCACAGTATGACATCTTCATCGCATTAAAAAAAACAGCAGAGAAACTTTATCCATATAAAGTATAAAAGTTAAAGAAACCAAAGTCCTAGCATGCATCTCCTAAAAGAGTCAAACTTGTTGATATATGAATGGCTAAAATGAAACCACACTGAAGTAGTTAAATGGTAAAGCCATGCAGAAAAAGAAAATTAAACAGAAAAACAGTGTGAATATTAAATTGGAACACACTAAAACTTAATTTTGTAATATGTTGCATGTGAACCCGTTTAGGGGCTGCACAATATATACAAATTTATCATCATCGCGATAACGGCCTGTGCAATATGCACATTGCAAAAAACTGCAATAAATGGTTACCAATAATGTTTGCACTTATGAGTTCTGTCAGCACAGTCTGATAAACAAAACGAAACCAAGATACAACATCAAATCATAACCACAGTGGAGAAAATGTTGCATTGAGAGAATTTATGGTTGGATTTAGGTTTGTTACTATTTAAAATCCTTTAACTCATTTTCAGATGTTTTATTATTGTATATAAAAATTTGATAGCAAGGGGCGTTTTTCAGTATTCAAAGCATCAGAAAGTGTTTAGTGGGGCGATGTTTTAAAACCATTAATAAACTAGTTTTCTTTTTTTTTTTTAAGGGCAGAACGACGTCAACACGGCATATTTAAGTATTTGTTCATTTATCGCAAGTCATACCGTCTTCGCAATATTTGGTTTTCCTGATATCGTGTAGCCCTAAACCCATTTCTGTACAAATTAAAGCTGTAAGAAGAAAAGCTGCACGTTCTAAAGACAATGCCATTTTAAAGAAGCAGAGGTTTAATTCATTTACTTAAATTGTAAAAAAATGAACTCCCAGGTGTGGGAGGTCCTCAAGAGACAGGAGTCTAAATAAAGAGTTTCAGAGAAGAGAAGCTGCAGCTGTGAACAATGAGGAAACTGTTTTGAGCAATAAACTTCCTAAAACTAAATGGTAAACCCCTTAATATAATAGTATTTTACCTTTAATTCTTTTAATTAGTGATATGATTGCTTACACAAGAATTCAGAAGACAAACTAAACCCATAACTGACATCTTAAAACCACGAAGAGGAAATATAAAACCGCTTCCTGCATGAGACAGAACATTTGCTAAACAAAATATTTTAGAAGTTTTTAAAGTGCTTTTAAAGTGAACAGATGACACCAGCTTCCTGGAAAACTAAACTCTTCTGGGGGTTTAAGACATACCATTGCAAAACCAGAGAGCAGAGCGGAGGTCCGGCTGGAGGCCTTCAGTTTGGCACGGCTCAGGTAGAGTTTCCTCCAGGACAGAGCCTGCACCGAGTGGTGGTTAGAGCTGACCAGCTCCAGGTAGCTGCGCCGCACCCAGTCCCTGTAGTCCCCGTTGTCCAGAGGTCGCTCTGAGACCCCTGGAGCGGGGGAACCCATCGGTACATTCAGCTCACTGCTCATGGCACCTGGTGGATAGAAAAAAGGAAAGCTGGTCAAACCAGTGCAGCTGACCTAAAGTCAGCTGAAATCAACAAAAAGGATAAAAATATGCTAATTTTCTAAAAGAACTTTAAAATGTGAAAGTTGTGATGTAGAAACATGCCCTAAACTGTTGATGTGAGACTTTTCACCAAAATCTGATTTTTTTTTTATATTGCTGCTGAGGGGAAGAAAGGGAACAGTGAACTGATTAAAACATCTGGATACATGATGATTTTTAAAAATAAAACAAAAGTGCTTGCTTATAAATAATAAAATGTATTTAAGAAATAATTGTGTTTTCCAAGCTTAAAAAGGCCCATTTAATGGTCATGGTGGTCATTAATTATAGGCTCTACAGATAAGGAATGTAGATCATGTCWGAGTAAACAACATTTTTTTCTCACAATTTACAGCTTAAGGTGGTTTCACTCCTTCTGCTATGTGATCTTTCTCTGAAAGTCTTTATTTAAGCACTGAACCTGCAATGTTTCTCTGTCAATTAATTGTGAGTATAGACCTCAACTGTGTCCAGATATTCCCACAGTCCTGTCCAGATGTTTTGGATATTAACTCTGTCACAGGAATGTTTTTGGTCTTCAAATGTTTTGTTGGCAGAGAGCCAGACTGAACTCAGCAGTGGTTTATGAGAACAGGAAGACACAATTATGAATACAAACAAAAACTTCTTCTAAACAACAAAACTGTTGTGGCTTTGAGAAAAAGTAGTCTCCTTCTAAAAGGGTATCAAAGATTAATAAAATGGAAAGATGACATCTTTAATTCAGCTTGATGATATGATTAAACTCTTGTAACAATGTTCCCAACTTTTAGTATAAATGATGCATTAAAAGATAAATGAATGATTGGATTGTTAACCCAATTATGCCATATGTGAAACAYAATTGTTTTACACTTTACAACTAATTTTAATCGCAACCCAGAATCACCTTTACACTTTAAACAGATCATTATATACCTTCTTCCTGTAAAAACACTGTTGGTCCACAGTCTAGTTTTTCACATTAATAGTGATTTTCAGTGATATTAAAATATGGCACAAAAGGCAAAAAACAGGTTTTTATGCACTTGAGGTATTTGTACCTTCATAAAAATATATATAATCTTTCACAAACAGAAACTAAAAGTCTAAACTTTAGATTAACTGTATAGTAAGAATATGCATTCATTCAATGATGGCTAATTMTTATTTTTAATGGAAACTTAATAATATTAATTTGACATGTTTCATATCTATATCAACTAAACAAGTTTACAATCCACACATTTAAAGTATTGGTTTTCTTCAAAATACAGATCTACACTAATAATAGTATCAAACCCAACAATTTCATTCAAATAACTCAGGTGAAGTTTTTCAAAGTTATGGTTCTTACATAGTCTGATAATAAATAAAACACGATTAGTTTTTAGTTTAGCTTCAGTTAATGAAGTGCATGGGCAGACTTTATTAAAAGTAAAATCAAATCCAATAAGATAATAATCTTTTTGTGATCCATGAGTTWGCAGGACACACAGTTCAGCAGATATCAGCACCTTTTCCATGTATATTTAGAAACTGGTATAAGTTGTTAGCCGGATATGTTTACCCAGTTAAGCTCCTACAAAAGCTACAAGTGCTTTAATAGTCTCTGTCAAATTCATGTCAAGATTAGAAAGCAMAGGTTTCCAGTTTAGAAATATGAAAACTGAGGATGAATTAAAATAAACAATCTCAAACTTGCTTGCAACAAAATGAAACACTTGCTAGCTAACGCGGCTAGCACGTTTTTAACCACTATCTTAGTAGTGTAATTTACCTTTATCAAATTTATTTTTCTTACCTTTTATCGACTGTGCCTTTTTAAATCACACACGCAAACTCCCAAGTCTCTTCTCTCCACGTTGCAACACAATAAGCAAACGCTGCTTCTTATTTAGGACCACGGACCTAAACGAACATATCGACTTCCGGTTTCTTCTTGCACACTTTGAAACATCTGCGTCCCTTCGCTTTTCTCTCGCTCTCTCTTCTCAGTTAAACCAGAGGTTCCGTCAACATTTTGTTCTGGACCCAGAAGTTCAGAACTGCGAGATGATTATCCCTCGCTGCAACCTAAAACTGGTTTCGGATCGGGGGGCTTGGGTGGGTGGTGTTGTACTGGGAGGAAACACCCCATCGTTTCCGGTTGAGCTTGTTGCTTTCAAAATAAAAGCACCAAGAAAATAGAATGAATGAATGAATGAATGAATGAATGAATGAATGAATGAATGAATGAATGAATGAATGAATG